TGATACCCTGGCACAAATTTTGCAACATGTGTGAGTGTCAGAAAGAAAAGTTAATATGTGTAGCATAAAATAAGCTCTTATAAATAAATTAGGAAAGATGAATAACCTAATAGAAAAATTGGCATGAATAGATAATTCCCCAAAGAAGAAATAAAAGTGGCCTATGAAATAAATGCACTAATAATGAAATAAGTACAAATAAATACTACAAAGAGATTTCATGATTGGACTATGAATCTTGAAAAATCTCTTGAGAAAGAAATAAGTCAGACAGAAAAAGTCAAGAACCACTTGATTTTACTCCTACATGGGATATAAAACTGAAAGGTAACAAATGAATAAACAAGAAAAGCAAACAAAAACTCATAGACACAGACAACGTATGATGGATACTGGAGGGAAGGAGGTGGGTATTAAAGGGTAAAGGGGGTCAAAATATGGTGATGGAAGAAGAGTTTACTTTGGGTGAGAGGTACACTATGCATACACAGATCCTGTATCATAGAAATGTACACTTGAAATCTATATAGGGTGTCCCAAAAACTGTATACACACACTTTGAAAAATTATAAAGGCAGTGTTTATTAAAATGCATTTCATTTTCAAATGTATTTTGAGCTATCAAAAAAAAAGAAAGAAAATTGAGCTATCACCTGTTAAAGTGTGTATACATTTTTGGGGGACACCTGACATAATCTTATTAACTAATATCACTCCAATAAAATTAATTAAAAAGAAAAAACTGGTATTGGTGAAGGCACTGTGAAATGGGTGCAAAAGGGGACAATTCTTCTGGAGGATAATTTTAAATATTTATTCATAGACTTAAAATTATTAACACGCTGAAGATTCAGTAATCACATTTCTAGGAATTTATTTTAGGGAGACAAGAAAGATGCATAAAGGTTCACATTTAAGGAAGTTCACCTCAGTGTATTGCTTTTAATATTAGAAAACTGGAAACAACTTAGATATCCAACAATGGGGCAGGTTTATATCAACATAAAAATGCCCAAATGTTTATAATATTTAACAATCAACACATTTATGAGCATTTTCTCAGGTTAAGTACAATATTCAATGCATAATGAATATTGTGTCAGAATGAGACCTTAAAATAGTCACTGCTCTTACCTTTCTCCTGCCATTTCTTTCCCTGCTGCTCGTTCCTCACGACTTGGGCATCAGTGGGATCTTTCTAATAGTCAGTGCCGCCAGGGTAGGGTAATTCCTGTGGAAATGCAGAGAGAATGAATCAAGTAAATGGTTAGCTTATGCAATTCCAATTAGACTTTTGTGGTGGAGGCAATTGACAGAGGAGACCCTGGGCCTCCTAGAAGGGGTGGCGGAAGGATGCAGAATTTGTGGAGGGCAGGGAGAACTCAGATATCCCAACTGGTGCCATCAGAGGGAGGATGGTGGTCGGGAACAAGACAGGACCATGCACATTTCACTTGATGCCCACCATGGACCAGTGGTCACTCTTTTATCCTATAATACCATCCAAGCCCCCGAAACTCAGATACCATGTATATTCATATCAATACTTTATGCAAATATTTAGGAAAAACACTAAAAAGGAAACAAGAAAATTAGGAGTAAACATCATTGTGGGGTTATAGATGATTTTTATTTTCTTATATTTAATCATTTTGTATTTTTCAGAAATTCCACAGTAAATGTATAAAATTTATAATGTAAATATTATAATTAGCATTAAAATACAGCATCAAAGGCTAATGTCATCCTGAAAACAATATATTTTTATTGATTTCAGAGATGACGGGAGAGGGAGAGAGAGAGAAACATCAATGATGAGAGAGAATCATTGATCAGCTGCCTCCTGCACACCCCACACCTGGGCAGGGCCCTGACTAGGAATCGAACCGTGACCTCCTGGTTCATAGGTCGACGCTCAACCACTGAGCCATGTCAACCAGGACTGAAAATATTTTTAACTCATAATACAGGCAAATATTTTACCTTCTATTTCATAAAGGATTCCTGTCAATCAAAGAAAAAGACCAACAACCCAATAGAAAAATGGACAATAGAAAAGATGATCCACAGAAAGGGGAGCATAGATAGCATTTAAGCATATGAAATATTGTTTAATTTTATTCGCAAAAACAGAAATGCAAATGAAAACTATTGCAAGATCCTATCTTTTTCCTTTCAGATTGTCAAGGTCCAACTCTGATGACACTGTAGGTAAAGCATGAAGAGACAGTACTCTCGCCCTTTGCCGAGCGGTGCATAAACTGGTACAACCTTTATGAAGGGTGACCTGGCAACATCCATCAAAATTACAAATACAAAAACTCACTGACTCAGCAATTTCTATCCCAAGAATTGATGGGAGGGATACATCAAGACATGCTAAGTTATATCATAGTAAATATTTAAAATAATGAAGTCTATAATAGCACAATATTGGAAATTAGAAACAAATGTCTTTCAATAGAGAATTGGTTAAACAAATGATTGGCACAATAGAATACTATAAAAAACTTTATGTACTGATGTGGAATGATTAAGATATCTTGTTAAGAGGAAAAAAGGAGTTAAGAACAGGGTGCATATTACACTACCATTTGTGTAATGAACTATGTATAAAAATATGTATTATATGTACATCTATCTCTTTTTGTATATAAATAATAGCTAATATTTATCAAGCAATATGTGGCCAATCACTGTTCTAAGGTTCAAAGTGCTGTATTTGCATATACAATAACCCATCTAACCTTCACAGCAGCCCTATAAGATTGGTGCTATTATCATCACAATTTCCACGTTCTAGATGAGTGAGTTCAATGAGTGAGTTCAGGTGCAGGGGTTAGAGGGACAGAGGGAGGGTGGGTGAGAGGCAGGCCTGGCGGGACACAGGAAGAGAAGGACGACTGTTCACTGCATTCCTTTTGCACACTGACCACGTGATTGCATCACCTATTATTACAAAAGAATGAAAAGAATGCGTCTGCTGTGACCGTCGCTGTGTTACTTACCCAGAGGTGTGCATGTGTGGGAGTGGAGTGGGGGAGGAACGCGGGACCAGGAAACAGCCTTCGTGGTCAAGTCTATCACGAATGTGTCCTGCCTGGGCCCTGCTATCATCTTTTGTATAGAAAAGTGCTGGCGGGTGATGGTCAGGGCGGCATTAAGTTATAACAGTGTTTCCTCGCCTGTCGATAATCTGAAACTTTCAAATACATAGCTTCGCAAGTTCCCACAAGCACATGTTCTGATTTAACAGAACTGGGTGCAGGTTGAAATCTGTCTTTTTCAGAAGTCCCCACCCTCACCTAGGCAATTCTGATTGTAAAACCTGGTTTAGAAACCCTGGACCACGTGATCTTTTGGGGTTCCTCCCAGTTCTAACATTCCACATCCCATGACGTACTGAGGGTCACATCAGATCCAACTAGCCCATCCTTTCTCGCTGTCTCCATTTCCCCCACCTCCTGGTTCTCAGTACTTCTAGCCCTTTCTAGGAGCTGCCTTACCTGCAGGCTCATCTGAAAAAGGAAAGGAGATTGAAAAGGAGGGACTGTGTCTTGATTCAGATCTCCACACCCACCACCACCCTCCCACTCTGGTGCTGCCTCCCAGAGGGCCGAGCCCATAGATTCCAGAGTTGCTATTATCATTCCAAGAGGATGACAAGGTACCGAAGCCCAAACGGAGACAGGAAATTTGACCCTTCGCAGAGTTTACACGGGGACTTGCATCTCCTGTGGATTCTAGTCTTCCTATGGTGTTTTATTCACTGATGGTACTCTGGGTATTTGGTGTGCTTATCTCTCATTCTGACAGATGGTCTTAAAAAAGTGCACAACATTCCCATTTTAATGTGGTGTCTTGGATGTTCAATGATCTCCTCTTTTCTTCCCTCCCTCCCTCCCTTTCTCCCTTTCTTCCCTCCTTCCCTTCCTTCTCCTCCATCTCTTCTTCCTTCATCTCTTCCTCCTCCATCTCCTTCTTTTCCATCTCTTCCTCATCATCATCTCTTTTTTTCCAGTTCTTCCTCCTCCTCCTCCATCTTCTCCAGCTCCTTCTTTTGCATCTCTTCTTCCTTCTTTTCCTCCTCCTCCTTTTCCTCTTCCTCCATCTCCACCTTCCTCTTCCTCCATCTCCGCCTTCTTTTCCTCCTTCATCTCTCCCTCCTTCTCCTCCTCCCTCCCTCTCCTCCTCTTCTCTCCTCTCCGCCTTCTCTTCCTATCAAGGGTAGGCCTAGGTCGGGGTGTTGCAGGTTCTGCTCACTGCTCTTTCACCCCATTTAGAGAGAAGGCTGAGTGTTCAGTTCATCACACAGCCCAGAGAAACATGGTTCCCCTGCCTTTTGCAGTTTTATGATGAGTCTCTCTCCGTCTCACAGGGCAGTTATTACTCATGATTGCTGGTCACTGATGAAGCCCAAACAAACGTGAGGCACACTCCACATACCACACACAGACACACACACACAAATATTTGCCTTGCTCGCTCGGCCGGGATGAAGATGCCCTTTCCAGCTGGCAGGAGCCACATGGCCAGACCTCCTCAGCGGCCTCTAAGCTGCTTTGACGATTTTCTTCTTCCAGGATTAGCATCCATGGCAAAGAAGTTGGCTGCCCGCTTGCCATAGAAGACATGGAAGAGGAACCCCCTGCCAGAGCCAGATGGGGGGCTTCCCCTTCCTGGCTCCAACCTGGCTCATGATGGCTGGCCCCAGTTTGGCCTGATGACAGGGCTTTCCGAAGGTGTATTTTTACCCTCTGGACAAATAGCCTGTTGGGAGGAGTGGGGCCTTTTTATGAGTTGAGGTACTCAGGGCTGGAAAATAAACAGGCAGCTAATGAGACCTTCTGGAAACGGGCATAAATAATAACAAAGGAAACATCTGGCCCTCGGGCCCACACCCTGGCGGAGGGGATATAAAAGCTGCTGTCCAGCTGGTGACGGTCAGACTTGGGGAACTCTGGCTGCGGTCCTGACCTGCGCCCTGACCAGCGGGGATCATGGGGTGCTGCCCGGGGGACTGCTTCACCTGCTGCGGTGAGGAGCAGGACTGCTGCGAGACGTGCTGCTGCCAGCCCGGCTGCTGCGGCTGCTGCGGGTCCTGCTGCGGCTGCGGGGGCTCGGGCTGCGGAGGCGGCTGCTGCGGGTCCTCGTGCTGCGGTGGATCTGGCTGCTGCGGAGGCGGTGGATCTGGCTGCGGGGGCGGCTCTGGCTGCGGGGGCGGCTGCTGCGGGTCCTCCTGCTGCGGGTCCAGTTGCTGCGGCTCCTCGGGCTGCTGCGGCCCTGTGTGCTGCCAGCCCACGCCCGTCTGCGACACGAAATGAAGAGCTCCCCGTGCCCCTCCACGGAGGCAGCCCCACGGAATGCGTCCACCCATCTGCTCCGGGCGAGGCCCCTCATCTCCAGGACTTTCCAGGACAGTGTCTTGCCTCCCGTGGTATTTGTAGAGGAGGCTTGTTTCTCCGGCGCCCGCCCTGGTCTTTCAAGGCCCTGAGAACTAGAGCCACGTGCTGGTGAGGAATTGAAACTGGGTGCCACCCAAAGTGACCCCCGAAGCTGAAAGGGGGCATCCCCGCGGCTGGCTTGACATTCACGAAGTTACGTGGTCACCGTGAGCATCCTCTCATTCAAGGTGCCCCTGGGACTGACCCCTCCTCGTCAGCTTTCGGAGGCGTTTGAGACGCACAGATTCCTCTCTGTTAACTTCTTAATAAATGCGAGCACGCTGGCATAACCACACTAGTTCTGCCGCCTCTTCCTTCGCCCCCTCTTGGGCACTGGGCCAGAAAAACGCACTCTGGCGTCTACAGTAGGCGCTTCTGACAAGCAGTTCGTGGATCACCTACATCAGAACCCCCAGGGGCAGTTAAGGGGAGCCCTCCCTGAGCCAGGCAGAATCAGCATTTGGAGGCGGGGGGATGGACGCCTGTGTTTTTCACAAGGAACCGAGGTATTCTTACCACTGAGGCCTGAGAACCACACATGCAGACTGAAGTTCTACGTGCTACGTGAGCTTCACTTGGGGAGGCTTTTAAACGTACAGGTCCTTGGGCTTTGCTGCTAGAGGTTTTATCCATTAGCCCGAGGGTGGAGGCCCTGGGAGCTGCATTTTTACTTTTAAAAATATTTTTTTATTGATTTCAGAGAAGAAGGGAAAGGGAGAGAGAGATAGAACATCAATGATGAGAGACAATTGGTTGGCTGCCTCCTGCACTACCCCTACTGGGGACTGAGCCTGCCACCCAGGCATGTGCCCTGACCTGGCATTGAGCGGTGACCTCCTGATTCTCTGAGCCACACCGGCTGGCTGGGGCCTGCATTTTTAAAAGCTCCCAGGTAAATGCTGATGCTGGCCAAGTTTAACCTGAGCGAGGTGCCTGGCTGCCTCCTGCGTTGTAGTTCTAGAATGGTTCTGCCGGAGGCTTCGGGTTTGGTCAGAACTTTCTAGCAAAGTCAGGGGAGAAGGCTTGATAAGACAAGCTTGGTTCTAAATGGAAGGGATTCCTGTAGCAAAATTTTGACAACACACAGGTTCTAAGGATGTTCTGGGAAGTTCAGGTCCTTCCTCCAGCCTCATGCTTTGGCAAAGTCTCCCTTTTCTGGGTTAGGTTTTCGTGTCCAGTTACCAGCTGATTTCCTTCTGCTTAAGACCCAGGGAGGGGAAGGGTGAGCACCAGTCTGCTAAATGGAGCCTGACCCAGTTATGTGTGGGTTCGGCTGGAAGGTTAAAATTCAAGAAGTAGTTGATTCAACCTCTTGCTGAATATGACCTTGAGTTGCTACATGTGGAATAAAATTGATTCTGCTCTTGGACTGGGAGAACAATACTTATTCTTATTCCTACAAAGCAATGCTTTATTCAATAAACAAAAATATTTTCTGATTATAAGCATAGCAATGATTCCTAAAAATATATAAAAAAATATAGAAAAATATAAAGAAGACATAATAGCCACTCAAATTCTCACCACTCAGGCTTTATTACTAATACTAGAGGCCCGGTGCACGAAATTCATGCACAGGAGGTGGGTTCCTCAGCACAGCCTGCACCCTCTCACAATCTGGGACTCCTAGGGGGATGTCCAACTGCCAGTTTAGGCTCAATACCAGCCTGTCAGACATCTCTCAACCCTGGACCGCTGGCTCCTAACTGCTCGCCTGCCTGCCTGCCTGATTGCCCCTAACCACTTGACTGCCTGCCTGATCGCCCCTAACCACTTTGCCTGCCTGATGCCCCTTACTGCTTGCCTGCCTGCCTGATTGCCCCTAATCGCTCGCCTGCCTTCCTGACCACCCCTAATTGCTCACCTGATCACCCCTAACTGCTCATCTGCTTGCCTGATTGCCCCTAACTGCCTCTGCCTTGGCCCCCGCACCTGGGACCCAGGCTTCTCTCCTCTGGCTGGCTGCAGGCAACTGGGACCCGGGCTTCCCTCCCTCTGGCTGGCCGCAGGCACCCGGGACCCGGGCTGGCTTTGCTTGGGCTGGCACAGGCACTCAGGACCCTGGGCGGCACCACCTGGGGCCCCAGCTTTGTCAGGAAGGATGTCCGGAAGACATCCAGTCCATCTGGTCTAATTAGCATATTACCCTTTTATTAGTATAGATGTATCTTTCCAGACTTCTTTCTAAGCATTTTACAAATAAAACTAGGATTATGCTACTTTTGCTTTTAAATTTTGTTTCATTTTTTATAAGCTAACTTGGAGATATAATTTACATGTAATAAATTACTCCCATTTTAGTGTAGTTTTATAAAATTTGGACAATTGTATATATTAAACCACTACTGCACTCAAGATCTAGAATTTTCCATCATCCCTCAAATTCCCCAGTGTCCTTTTGCAGGTAGTGTCCCCTCGACCTGACCCCAATCTCAGACAACCACTGATCTGCTTTATGTCACTATAAATTTTGCCATTTCTAGAATTTCATATAAATTAAATCATATATTGTAAACTTTTTCACTTAGAATAACATTTCTAAATATTTATTCATGTTGCTGTAGCTCTCAATAGTTCATTCCTTTTTATTTAGTGAATAAACTACATTGTATAAATAAACTACATTAAAATATTCATCTACTGATGGACATTTGGGTTGTCTACAGTTTTTTGCTATTATAAATAAAGCTGTAATGAATATTCATGTAGAAATTTTTGTGTGGACATATTTTCATTTATTTAGGATAAATTTCTAGGTGTTGGATTGCTGGGCAAATGGTAAGTGAATGTTTCACATTGTAAAAAACTACCCACCTGTTTTGCAAAGTGGTTGTACCATTTTGTATATCTTGGAGTTCCAGTTGCTCCATGTTCATGCTAACACTTGATATTGTCAGTCTTTTAATGTTTAGCGGTTCTAGCAAGTATCTAATGATAGTTCCTTGTGTTTTAATTTTTTTTTTGCATTAAAAATTCTAGTAGTATTTTCAGTATCTTGCTTTGGGAGAGAATTTGAGATTTGACTCTGCCCTGATTCAGTTTTAAACTCTACTATTTAGGTCATTGTTTGCTCTGCCTGAAATTGGCCTCTTAAATACTGGCTCTATAACCCCTAGGACAAAGCCACAGTCAGAGCAGAAGCATGCCAAAGGGACAAAGTTGCCAAGAGGTCAACTGGTCTACATTGAGCAATTATGATTAAGCGCAGCTCATTCTTTCGTTGCTCATGACCATGGCCTCATGGAGGCATGAATGGAAGGTAGTAATTTCTTTGAATTATTGACAGAGAATTGCTCCTCTTGTCCATGGAGGTCCTCATTCACTCATTCAACAAATATTAATAGTGAACTGCCTACGTATCAAACACTGCTCTGGGTGCTGGGTTTACATCAGGGGATAAACAAAATTCTTATCCTCCTAGTGCTTATATGGCATCAAGGGAGCCAAGAGCTACAGAAGACAATAAAGTAGGAATGGTCTAGATAGTTAAAAGAGCAGCTTATTCCACTTAGCAGGGAAGGATTCTTGGAGGAGATGACATTCTAGCATAATGAATGATGCTATGCAAGTTTTCTGGCTGAGAGCCTTTATGAGGGATTTTTTTTGGGAGGGGCATCTCCATCTGGCATTTTATTGCTGGTTTAGCTGAGGAAGAGAAGGTGGATGGAGAGAAGAACTGGAAATGTGGAGATCAGGGTCTTGGGGTCTTCTCCTTGCTTTATCCACTGCAATGCTTTCTAAAATTCTTTTCCTCTATTGCTGAGTTCCACATCTCAAAGAATGGCACTCCCTATTCCCAATATTTCACTTTCAACCACTAAGCCCTGTAGATTCTGTCTCTTTAAAACATCTTATATCACTCCAGTCCCAAGGCACTGGCTAGTTCACCATGAAGCTTTTGAGTAATTGCCCCAGACCCCTAATGGTCGGCCCACTTCCAGACTCACCCTTCTTCTTCAATCCCTTCTCCACAGCTAGAGAGATAGAGGGCAGACCTGGGCCAAGTTACTCCCCTGCTTAAAACCTCCAGGTGTCAGTATAAAATTCAACTTATTACCATGGTTCATAGGTTTTTCATGATTGAGTGGCTAGTAACCCCTCTAGACCCATCACTATCCTTTCCTGTCCCCTTGCACTTTTCATCTCAGCTATGGAACCATTTGCTGCTCCCCAAATGTATCATGCTCTCTTAAGAAGCCTTCCCTAACTTCCTCAAAACCACATTGCTGTTTCTCCTGGGTGCCCACAGAGCACCCGTGCATCCAGGTGTTGTAGCACTTGTACATATACTGTACCATAATTGCTTATGGCAGTATCTTTCTTCTAAACTTGAGCTCCTTATGGAATTGCAACTCATTCATTCTGTATCATCACACAAAACCCAATGATGGCTGGGTTGGTTGGATGAATAAAATTGAAATTGGGCAAATGATTGCACAAATTAATGAATGAAGACAAGAATGGTGAATGACTGGAAAAATGGCTCAGCTTTTCCAAAGCCGCCTTTTGTATTGATGTTGAAAGCACATGGTGGAGGCAAGATGGGGCCTCAGTGAGCAGGGATATCAGTCCTTGGTGTTTAGAAACTCAGGGTTTGTTTCCCACATCATGTCTCTCTCAAGCAGTAGCATTGACACAATGCTTTGAGAAAGCATTTGTGTTTTTGCTTTTGTTCATAATGCTTTTGTAAAAAAAAAAACACCTGTCTTTCTTCTTTACCCTTTGGGTCTTGGATGTATCTTTCTTCTAGGAGCTGCTAAAATCACCAAAGGACAATAGAGTATACAGATGTCTTATTAGAAAGTTGTACACCTGAAATTTATATGTTATTAACCAATGTTATTCCAATACATTTAATTTTAAAAAATCACCAAATGCAA